CAGAAGGGACCCTCACCCCTCACTAAGCCAGATACAACTCCTGGGAGGACCCTCAGCCCCTCCCCACCCTTTTGAGATAAGAGCCCACAGTGTGTGACACCCCCCAACTATTTTGGTTAGCCTTAAGGTCTATGACTTTGTAATATACTAGGGCAATGAAACCCATTTTCTCAACCAACATTTATTGAACACCTACTGTGTGCTGAGACCTGTGTGTCTAACTCATCTCGGTTTGCCCAGGACTTTCCGGTTTGGGGCTGAAAATTCAGTGTCCTAGATTCTCCTATGTCCGGGGCAAAATGGGGTAGTTGGTCACCCAACCCCTTCTAAGCACTGAGGATAAAGACAAATTAGAACCCTGTCCCAGCCCTCAAGATGCATGTGGTCTAAGAGAGAGTCAGAAAAGTAAGGCAATTATAAGGGATCGGAGCGATCAGTACTCAGAGTCATGAACAGGGCCCCCTGTGGAACACAGAAAGTTCCATCCAAATCTAACCAGGGGGCCAGAGGATGCACCATGAAAGATGCAATACTTGAGTTTGATTTAAAGAAAGAGCAGCATCATATACACTGTTCAAATTGGCAAATATTAAAAGAGGAGATATCTGTGGGATGTCATGCAATTTTACTTTCTCTGTCTCAAAATATATATATTTGGTTCAGATTCCCACAGCATAAAGGTGGGATTTCTATATGAAAAAAGGCAGACAGGCGAAGGCTCATTCTTGGTGTATTTATTATGAGACAGAATAAAGCTTACAGTATTTCCATCCTGAAGCTGGTGATCATTTTCTGGACTAGCGATGAATATGTAATACCTATTTCCGCCTCTGGGGTTTGTGTTTAGAACAGTGAGGATGAGTGGCCTAAGCAGGTAGTCCGGGTTAGAGGTTAGAGACATTGAAGTGACACCCTGCCCAACAGATCAGATGTGAAGGATTTTATTTTTGACATGTTTTATTTTTTTTTAATTCAAACTTACTGAAAAATTGCAATTTTTGAAAAAATGTTATACCTCCATCTAGGTTCACCAATTATTAAAATTTTCTTAAATTTGCTTTCTCACTCTCTCTTGCTGTATACATCTATGTGTTTTTATTCTTATTATTATTCTTGAACCATATTCTAGAATAAGTTGTGGAAATCATAACTCTTTAGTTCTCAATACTCCAGTGTGTATCTCCTAAGAACATGACATTCTCCTGTGTTATCACAATAGGAGTTCATGTTCAGGAAATTTAACACTGATACAGTATTATCTAATACAGAGTCAGTGTTCCAATTTTGCCAACTATCTCAATAATATCGTTTCTGGCAATTATTTTTCCAATCTAGTGCCCAATCCAGAACCGTCCACTGCATTTGGACGTCATGTGTCTCTTATTCTTCTTAATCTAGAAGAATTCTTCAGCTTTTCTTTACCTTTTATGACTGACAGTTTTGAGGAATACAGGCCAGTTGTTTTGTAAAACATCCCTCAGTTGGAGGTTGTCTGATGTGTCCTCATGATTGGATTCAGGTTTTGAATTTTCGCTGCATAAGTGATAGGTCCTTCTTGTCCCATCACATCAGGAGGTACCCGATATCAGTCTGTCCTGTTACTTTGATCGCTTGGTTAAGGTAGGGCCTGTCCTGTTACTTTGATCGCTTGGTTAAGGTAGGGCCTGCCAAGTTTCTGCACCGTAGAATGATGACAGTTGTCCTTTTGTAATAATGTCATCTGTGGGGAATGCTTTGGGATTGTGTAAATATCCCATTAAACTTTTACCCAATATTATTTTGCACTTGTACTGGTTTGCTAGGGCTGTGTAACCACCAACTGGGTGGCTTACAACAATAGAAATTTAATTTCTCACAGTCTGGAGGCTGGAAGTCTGAGATCCAAGTGTCAGTAGGGCTGTTTCCTTCTGAGGCTGTGAGGGAGAATCTGTCCCAGGCCTGTCCCCTGGCTTCCAGTGGCTTGCTGGCCATCTCTGGTGTTCCTTGGCTTGTGTATGCATCACCCCAAGCTCTACCTTCATCTTCACACGATGTCCTCCGTGTGTGTGTGTGTGTGTCTGTGGCTAAATCTCCCCTTTTAATAAGGACAAAGTCATCTTGGATTAGGATCCACCCTAATGACCTCATTTTAACTTGATCATCTGCAAAGACTCTATTTCCAAATAAGGTCAAGGTCACATTCACAGGTACTGGTGGGTGGGATCCAGCATCTTTTGGGGCGGACACAATTCAACCCACAACAGCACCTATTGATGATACTTACTGAGATCAATTATTACTGTGAGATGGCTGCAGAACGGTGGTTTTTCTATCATGTTTTCAACATTTCTTAGTTGGCGTTTCAGGGGGCTGAAGGTTTTTGAATAATTGCTAAACAGAGAATGTCTATCCATCTATGGCTGGATAGAAATGGCCACATATCTTTAAAACAAAAATTAAAAATAAAAAAACATAACAATATGTACCCACATCCGTGCTAGGAATTGTGAGCAGAAAACTACTGGCCTGTGGACCAAAGTCAGCACAAATGGGGGAAAGCAGAGAGTGTAGTTTTTAAGCCACCCTAAACATTTGCTGATTGTAAGCTACTCCTTGGAAGGTTATTACTTGTGGATTTTTTTATGCTCTGAAACAAAAGTAACATCACACTATTGAAGGATGTGTACCAGGTTCTTGGATTCAGCATTCTGGTCATCTTCAGTACTTACTGGTGAACAGATATTTCCCACGACTGAAATCTCTGTCATCATCAGAATCACAAATAAGCAAGGGCCCAAAACTGTACACACCGTGTGTTCTAAAGTCATGAAGCCAGAGCCTATGCCAGACGCCCCGCTACCGCTCGTAGAATTGCTCAGTAAATTCTGAATTTAGAAGTGCAGAAGGATAAGAGAAGCCATTGCTCCTTTCCCTCTGAGAATTGGCTGCTGTTTCTAATATAACTTTGTTTCTGAGACAACCATCTAGTTAGAAAAAGATTTCTATGGATAAGATATTATTCATCTTTCTTGTATCAATATTCAAAATTCAGCAATCAGAAAATTTTTCATCAGGGGCTTCCCTGGTGGCGCAGTGGTTGGGAGTACGCCTGCAGATGCAGGGGACGCGGGTTCGTGCCCCGGTCTGGGAAGATCCCACATGCCGCGGAGCGGCTGGGCCCGTGAGCCACGGCCGCTGAGCCTACGCGTCCGGAGCCTGTGCTCCGCAACGGGAGAGGCCACGACAGTGAGAGTCCCGCGTACCGCAAAAAAACAAAAAGAAAATTTTTCATCAGGAGAGGAGGACTGTGATAAAAACCTAGCCCTCAGCATATTTTGTCCCCATTTTTCAGAAGTGACATTTCACATATAGGTGCCAAAAGTGAATTGGGGTGGGAAGAACAGGAACCTTTGGAATTTATGGTTATTACGGAAATTGTAGAAACTTTGATCTGACTGTCTGACCGGAAAATAATCTTGTATCACCTCCTAAAGAATCATGGGCTTTTTTCAATTTAAAAAAGCAGCAATACACACACACACACACACACCACACACACACAAACTGTACAGTTCTGGAACTACCAAGAAATATGACTAGGGACAACATGAAGGATCCGAGATCTTTTATTTCTTTGTGTTTCCTCTTAAACCTGACAACAGATCTTTGGAATTTTTCTCACATCTCTACTCCATCCACAGTAAACAAAGAATACTTTGTTTCCAAAAGCCACTGATTACAAGTGTCAGTGGTCCTCGCTTCTAGGATGCTGTATAGCTTTTCTAGGGCTGTCATAATGAGTGTGGGCAGCTTAAACCACAGAAATTTATTGTCCCACAGTTCTGGAGGCTAGAAGTCCAAAATCAATGTGTCAGCAGGATTGGTTGATTCTGAGGGCTGTGAGGAAAGGATTTTTTCCAGGTTTCTCTCCTTGGCCTGTAGATGAATGTTTTCTTCCTGTGTCTCTTCACATTGTCTTACCTCTATACATGTCTCTGTGTACAAATTTCCCCTTTTGTAAGGACACCAGTCATATTGGATTAGGGCCACTCTAATGACCTCATCTGAACTTCCTTACCTCTGTAAAGACCCCATCTCCAAATAAGGTCTTATTCTTGAAGTACTGAGGGTTAGGGCTTCAGCGTACAAATGTTAGGGGGATATAATTCAACCTATAACAGAGGCATTTCAACCATCCACAGATTTTCCCAATGTTCATTTAGACAGAATAGGAAATAAGGGTCGTGACTGCATGAAACTAGATTCTAATTATGGAGCCAAAATTGTACTGAATCTCTCTCTCTACCTTTTCCACAGACGAAAAGTCAGTGCTGAGACTGAAAGCACTAAAGATGCTGGTACTAAGCTCCTCCCGGCCATCCACCCACAGGGCTGTGGATTTTACACTTGCTTGTATTTGTAATGACTCTTCTCTCTGCTGCTAGAGATTTTTAAGTGGATTTGGGTTGCTGTTCATCGTCCAAGAGTGTGCTGTGTGGGCTTATCCCTTGGTCAAGTGCAGGGGTTACCAGCAGCTGAATTAGTGACAATACTCATTTCTTGCAGAAACAAGTAGACCTTTGGGGAAGGTGCTGTATCTCTTCGTGCATCCTTTAGGTGCATTTAGCTGACATCCAGGCATATGAATCCTAAAGAATATGTTGAGGGTGTTTGCCATAGAGAACACCTATTTCTCCCAGCTGGAGAGGGACCTGAAGCCAGCTGAGATGCTTCAGAAGTTTTTACTTCAAAGGATGGGAGGACAGAAAAGATGGAAAACCAGGAGCCAATTACCTGAGAGCTCTCTGCTGGAATCTAGAGGATTCTAGATGGAGAAAGGGAGAAGTGAGGCTTTCCTGGGCAACAAATCCCGCGCGATGATGTGTCTCTCTTAAAGCTGATGGAGAGTCTGTGCCAGTCCTATAGCAGACTCTCTAACCTTCCCCTGAGTTGCATCCTTGTGTAGAAACGGACGCCGCCTGGGGAGAATGTTCACTCTCTTTCCTTGCTTTCTTGATCAGGTCACAGACATAAAAGAGAAACTGAAGCTCTCTAAAAAGGTCTGGTCAGCATTGCCCTACACCATCTGCAAGGACGAGAGTGTGACGGCGGGCACGTCCAACGAAGAGGAATGTTGGAACGGGCACAGCAAAGCCAGGTGAGGGCGGCTCGCTATCCTTACGGATGGGGCGTTGCACATCTAGCCCTGGAAGGCTCTCCTGGCACAGCGCTGCAGACCTGTTTATGCAAAAAGCAACGGAGGGTGGAGGGACAAGTCGTCACTTAGCAACAGCTGTTCAGAGTGACAGGTTTGATGGGCACCTGGGAGCACTTACTCTCAAGGTGCCATTAAGCGTGGAATCCTTGTTCTGAATGCCTCGCCTCTGGCTGAGGACAGAGGGATGGTGACAGATGCCAGGTTACGGATATCCTGAGATCACAAAGAGCTTTTTATGTTCACTTACTGACTTTAAGAAAGCAGAGCTATTTTTATCCGTAGTTAAATTTGCACAGCTGACTGGTTTTTTTCCATCACAAGTTAAACAGGAAGTGAACATTCAACTGTAATTTTTTTCACCCTTGGAGAAAAAAAAAAAATACTGGAGTCTCGTTGAAAGGGTTAGGGAAAAAGAAAATGACAGACAGACAACCAGGAAAGCGTTCTCACAGGTTCCGTGCCTTGAAAAGTCCTATTGGAATCTCCTGATGAGACATGGCTCTGTTCTTATCCTCTGCTCTGCCGTCCATTGCTACTGCCACTTGGTATGGAGTTTCTGAATTTCTTGATTCAGCCCAGAAACGGGCTTGGCCTGAGTTTTCATAGGGTGGAGAAGTTGGACCGGAGAACTGGCTGGGAGTTGGCAGGCCAGGCAGCCCCCAGGAGAGGAGTCTGCCTGAGCCCTCCTCAGTGGGGATGCAGGTGGGCAGAGCAGCTGGTAAATTGCACTCAAGGAATCTTTGGGGGGGGGGGTCAACCAGCAGGTGGAGAACCTAAGAGTGGGGACTGTCCTGCGGCGTTATTGGGCGGTTTCAAGCATATGAAATAGGGAACAAGGAGATTCATAGATATTAAGTTCAGCAGAAGCTGCAGAAGGAAGGGGTGCGAGCGAGGTGCTCCCTGGGTGTAACTTCCTACACTGCTGAGTTGCATCTTTTAGCATCTATTGGTAATGAGAGAGCTTAGCAAGATGAAAACAAGACAGCTGTAGAAAAAACTGTAATCATTTCAAGTTACCCCCAAATATCAATGTGCAAATCTTAGATCATGAGGGTCCAAGAGGCTATTCATGGTATCAAAAACATTCTCCTCAAAAATGCTTAGTAATCTATCAGTGTCAGACCTTTCAGGAAGGAGACCTTGGGCCAGCAAATTCAGCTGTGAATTAACAGCTTCTAATGTGTCTTTTCCTAATGACTGTACAAAAAGACACTGTAAAGGATGACCAGGTGGCCTAATGAATAAAGTGGTTGATTTTCTGAGCTGCTCTGTTGCCCATCTGTGTTTATCTTTTAGCCTTGGCTAAAACAGCAGCTGTGTTTTCAACTACATTCCTGTGGATAGTTACACAGGTTACTGGATATTAGCGCATATGCAGTGTCTTACAAAAGGAAATATAAGAAAAGGCTTTGGGCAGGGACTGGGGAGCGGACTACATTCCATCAAGAAAATGAACGGGGAAGATAAAGACCATTGAAGTTAGAGCAAAAAGAGGCTGCGATGGTTCGGCCAAGTTCCCCACTGTGTCAGGAACCGAGACAGGGTAAAACATTAGTCTAAGGTTAGCCGACTAACAAGGGTGAAAGCTGAAATCTCCCAAACCCTAAAGGGTATTCTTTCACTTTAATACCCTGACTCTAGAGCAAATGACAGATAAATACTGTCCTCCCCAGGTTAGAAGAATAAATGAAACAGTCTTCGCTCTGTAAAAGATTTAGTGGGTCTACATTCGGTTCATTCAGTTCATCAGCAATATTATTAAGCACTCTCTCAACCCAGGCACTGTGCAAGGCTCTGTCAATTAAGTACCATGTGATGGCAATGCTGTCTGTCAACACATGAAAAGGCACAGTGGCTTGAGAGAAGACAGTGGATTTTGGAACTTTAAACACCCTCCTGTTGGACTGTAGGTTGGGAAAGGACCACATAGGTGGAGACACACCTGGATCAGTACTCAGGGACCAGATTTGAATTTTATCCTGAGGTCTATGGGAAGCCATTGGAGGATTTTATGTGGGCGAGGGAAATCATCAAACTTAATGTGATAAAATCATTTGCATGAATATTCCAGAATTTAACCCAGTGTATTATTAAAAAGATAATGCTGTCAAATATTTGTGACTCATATTTCCATTGAAAAATTATAATTTCAAGGGGTTTTTTTAGTACCTTTCTTTCTATTTCTTCCACTGGAATGGAATCTTAATATTATAACTTTATTTATTTATGTATGTATTACTTTTGGCTGCATTGGGTCTTCGTTGCAGTGCGCGGGCTTCTCATTGCGGTGGGTTCTCTTGTGGAGCACAGGCTCTAGGCGCACGGGCTTCAGTAGTTGTGGCACGCGGGCTCCAGTAGTTGTGGCACGCGGGCTCAGTAGTTGTGGCACGCGGGCTCAGTAGTTGTGGCTCGGGGGCTCTAGAGCGCAGGCTCAGTAGTTGTGGCGCACAGGCCTAGTTGCTCCGGAGCACGTGAGATCTTCCCGGACCGGGGCTCGAACCCATGTCCCCTGCATTGGCAGGCGGATTCCCAACCACTGTACCACCAGGGAAGCCCTATAACTTTATATTTAATAACATTGTAAGTAGATAACCAATAAAGATTTGTTAGATTAAATTTAATTGAAGGTTTCTTCTCATCCAAATATTAATTGATCGAGGAACACACAAGAGAAGTTTTCATTAAAAAAAAAAAATTCCACTGAACTGTTTTGCAAGTTAAAAAATCCGTTTGTAACGCAAGGCAACCTATTTTTTCCCTATTTTTGAAGTATGGCCTTTCAGATGATAGGCCTTCTTAAATGTTTAGGAATACTTGTGAAAAAGAAAGAAAGGTTATTCTTGTCACCCTGTGAAATAAAAGAACCAGAACCTTTATTTTAAAAAACAAAAAAAATCTATCAAGTGTTTGTTTATAGATATGGAACAGCGATGTCTATTAGCATTGATAGAGGTTGTCTGGTGTTTTAAAACTCAAGGCTGTTTTAAAACAGGGATGAGGCTGCTGGTCACTCAGACGTTTCTTCCTTTCTTTGTATTTTATCCATCTGATTCCTTCAGCCAGTCTTTGCAGCCCTTTTATCCTATCTATCTAAGTATTTGCTCCGACTTGTCTACCATTATTCATATTTCTCCCGATTGTTTTCTGCGTGCAGCTCCAAGCTCTCTCCTATACTTGCGTGATTCAGAAGCATGCCTATTTCATGTGTTAACATTTCTGAAATCAAAATGACTCCTACAGTGGATATGTCCCTTTACTCCAGTATGTATTACTTGCCCAACTAGGTGTTTGTTAGTAAATGAATACCACCCGTTGAAATTAATGATGACTTGAAACAAAACAGGGTGCACACAGATGCGGCTGCTGTGGTAACCACAGGGCGAAAGCTGCTGTGTTGAGATGACGGTCAAGGGTATGTGAGTAATCGTTCCCCCAGAACAGAAACCCACCTTCATCCCCTGCTCCCACCTTTGCCCATCTCTGGCAGGTCTCAGTCTCCTTCAGTAGCACAGCAGGTCTGGAAACAGGAGGTGAGGTAGAAGGAAGAGACTGTGCCCTCTGAGGGGAGGAAACTGTGGGCACACCGATGACCCTGTCAGCACGTAAATTTCCATTTGACAACAAGACAACAGGTGGTCAGCAGAGGCCCTTCCCTGCTCCTCCTTCCCTTGCCAACCACTGGGACAATTTAAAGACCAGTGCAATAATGTCTGTGAGAATACGTGGTGAACTCTAAAGCAGTGCTTCTCAAGTGTACAGGCTAACAAGATCTGGGAGAGCTTGTTAAAAATGCGGACTCTGATTCAGGAAGTCTGCGGTGGGCCTGAGATTCTGCATTTCTAACAAGCTTGCAGGAGACGCAGATGTTGCAGGTCCAGGGACCGCAGTTTGAGTAGCGAGGCTCTAAGGCAGAGTTGCCAGATTTAGCACGTTAAAAACAGCAGACACCAAGTGGAACACACTTACACTCAAAAAAGGATTCATTGTTTATCTGAAATTCAGATTTCACTGGCTGTCCTGTATTTTATCTGGCAGCCCTACTTTAAGTTCCTATTAATATGTAAGATGTTCCCTTTTTCAGTTCAGGTGCAAGCCTCAGGGAGCATGTTACAATTTGCTGTTTTCTCTTTGCCTCCAAGGAAACCCTTGATGTTTCCCTTAATGGGGTTTTTCTTATATGAAAAACAACAACAGCAACTGGGTTGGGCAGGTCACGTGGTTCATTTGTAACATCACCCACTAAAGATAGCCAGAGCCCAGGCCAGGTTGAAGTCATCTCAACAGTGAATTGCTTAAGCTTCACAAGCGCATCAAGAGGGAATTTTACGTTGGAAATGCAGCACAGCCTTCATGAGACAGGATATTGTCCACACAAACCTCTGGTCTCTAATGAGATGCCTTTGTGGGCCAAGGATGGATCTGGTCATTACTGGATTCAATTAGTGTCTTAGCTCAGGCTGCTATAACAAAAACACCGTAGACTGGGAGGCTTAAACAGAAATTTCTTTTCTCATAGTCTGGAGGCTAGTAGTCAACAGGGTTGGGTTCTAGTGAGAGCCCTCTTTCGACCTTGTGGATGGCCGCTTTCTTTCTGTGCCCTCACATGGCAGAGAGAGAGGGCTCTGGTCTCTTCTTATAAGGGCACTAATCCCATCATAGAGGCTCCACCTTCACGACCTCATCTAAACCTAATTACCTCCCCACCACCCCACCTCCGAGTGCCATCACATTGAAGGTTAGGGCTTCAACCTATGGCTCTCGGCGGGACACAAAGATTCCGTCTATAGCAGAAAATACTCACATCCACATCTTACTTTATCAGAATAGCTAATAAAGAATTCAGGCCAGTGTCTGTCACTCAAGAAAAGCAGCCTCAGGTGCATCGTCAATGACCAGCAGGAAAGTAAGCTGGCGAGGGGAACTTCTCCTTCCATCTCTCA